CAACGTAGTCAATTGGGATCGTGGTCAATTGCAACATGGTCAATTGCAACGTGGTCAATCGGGTCCGTGGTCAATTGCAACGTGGTCAATCGGGACCGTGGTCAATTGCAACGTGGTCAATCGCGACCGTGGTCAATCGCGACCGTGGTCAATTGCAACGTGGTCAATCGGGACCGTGGTCAATTGCAACGTGGTCAATTGCAACGTGGTCAATCGGGACCGTGTTCAATTGCAACGTGGTCAAGTGAAAAGTCAAGTGAAAAGTCAAGTGAAAATGCTGGTCTGGTCGACGACGACGACGACGACCGGGACGAAGACGACAACAAAGACGACGACAATGACGACAAAGACGTTTCTTAATCCAAAATTTAACAATTCTGACTTTTGCATTGCAATACCTCCACTCCTGGGGCACGTAGGAGAAAAGTAAAAACACTTTTATTATGCAAATCGTACTCAAGCTATCGATTAAGCGCAGTCTCAATTTCGTCGGATCAGCCGTTGTTGAGATCAGAAAATCTGAGGGCCCGTCAACTCGTGTACTCGCGTAAACTTACACGGTCGGTCTCGCACGCGTGTACTAGCTACGCTTACACTTGGCGCGAGACACTACCGTGTCTCGTGATCACTATTCTTTATTGTATAGTTAATGGTAATTTATTAAAATTTTATTTCTTCTGTTGATTATGAAAAATTATATTTTACTATTTTTAAATTATTTTTAGTTTTCTAGCTCATGGTGACAGTGTGACCACTACATCTTTGTTCTTTCGCATAGGCAAATCAACCTTATATAATATTATTCCTGAAGTATGTAATGCTATATGGAAAATATTGCAACCAATATATCTTCAATGTCCACAAGAAGAGGATGAATGGCTAAGAATTGCAAAAGAATTTAATGATATTTGGAATTTTCCAAATTGCATCGGAGCAATTGATGGAAAGCATTGTCGAATTCAAGCTCCACCTAATTCAGGCAGTGCTTTTCACAATTATAAGGGTTATTTCAGTCTCATATTAATGGCTATTGCAGATGCTCGTTATCGTTTTATTTGGGTTGACATTGGAGATTACGGTATATATTAATTATTTCAAGACTATTAAGTTAAAAATGAGATCTATCAAGAATATATAAATTTTTTATGTTAGGTTCCTTGAATGATGCTGGAATTTGGTCAAATACCGCAATAAAAAAAGCATTTGAAAACAATACTCTATCTATACCGAGGGCTTGTCCTTTACCTAATACAAATTGTTCATTACCATTTTGTGTTGTTGGTGATGAAGGTTTCCCTCTTAAAACATATTGTATGCGTCCATTTGCAAGAAGAAATTTACAAAATAATGATCAAAAAGTTTTTAATTACCGATTATCAAGAGCACGTCGTGTCGTTGAAAATGCTTTTGGAATACTCGTTTCACGATGGCGAATTTTACATAAACCATTAGCTCAGAAATTAGATACTGTAGAAAAAATTATTCAAGGGGTAACTTGTTTACATAATTACATTATATCTACTAATACAACAAACAATCAATATTTACATGAAGGAATAGATCAAGAAATTGCTAATGGCGAAGTAATATCAGGAAATTGGCGAAATGTAGTAGGAGAAAATAGTTTTATTAATCCTTTAAGACGAATCGGTGCTAACGTTGGTACAACTGCTGCTATCAGACAACGTGAAACTCTTGCTCAATACTTCGTTTCAGAACAAGGAAATATTCCGTGGCAATGGGAACGTATATGAATATTTAATATACACAATGACATTGATGTTTCTATCAATGCTAATAATTACACATTATTTCGTAAATAAAACATTTCTCGAAATAAAACCTTTGTAATTCATTTTTTTATTAATAAAAATTTAAAAAATGTAAAAGTATAACCTTTTATACATTTTCTTATACTGTTGTTATTAATGTATTAATGCGTATTAATAAATGCGAGACTAATAACTTAATACTAAATAAAAAATATATTGCAATGAGAGAGATATGATCCAACGCACAATAGAAAAGTATTAGGAATCAAAATAAGTTAGTCTAAATATTAAAAATAAAAATTCAAAATTCTTATTTCAAAACAAGAAAATGAAAGCAATTAACATAAAATATTTATAAGTTTTTTAAATATTTAATAAATATTTATATCCTTAATATTTTTTTATTATGTGTTGGACTTTATACTTTTTAAACAGTTATAAGTAATATATTGTGAAGAAGCTTTGGTAAGCTAAACAATATTTTTAATTATAAAATATAAAACTTTAAAACAGAAAACAAAAACACATTGTTGAACATTAAAAGTATTGTTTTCAAATCAGTTTAACATATAAAAAACTTTGGTTTAGATATTAAAAATATGGTAAAAAAATATTAAAAGAGAATTTTTAACTTATGTTTTCTGATCTTTCTTCATACTTCTGAATTATTTGAAGTAGTTCGATAAGACACTGAGTCTTATTTTTAGCAGGAACAAAGCTTAATCCTTCTTCTATAGCAGACATGTATCCATCTGTTTGTCGTTTTTGATCACAGAATTGTGTTGAAATTGCTTTTACAGCTGTAGAAATAGCAGAAGTTGCCTCCTCCAAATCACGATCTAGTTGATCATCTTTTTTCTTTTTACGTTTGGCAAATTGGTCCATTTCTGGTAAAATTTTTTTAATAGGTTTAAATATAGGTGGATTTTTAAAATTTTCAGAACTTGCCACTGAAAATGGTATGCTTGTATTGCTTGTACTGCTGCAGCTGGACATGGCACTTATAGGTCTTGTTATTGATTCATGATCAATTGTCACAGTTTCTTCGTTATCAGTGATTAGGTCATCATCTCAAATTTTTAATTAAATTAACATAAATGTTATAATATTAACATTTTCGTTTTAGTAATACAAACCTTTAACAAATGTACTGGATTCGTTATTATCATGATCACAGGATGGAAAAGAATGCACTAAATTTGCAGATTTTTTTAATGGTAATAAACTAGTTACGTCTGGAGCATTTTTTGACACAGAACATATTGATTTATTTAGTGGGACAAATGATGAATTCGTTCTGTTAATGAAATAATGAAAAACAGAAGTAAGCTGTAAAAGTTAAATAAATAAATGTTACAAAAATGCTACAATCTTACCGTCGGTGAACTATGTGAGGAAGTAAAAACAACATATTACGGTATAACTGCCATTCTTTTACTGGTTCATATCCAGAACCTGATGGTGGCAATTTTTGTTTTCTGTTTTCTCTATTAAACATATCTCTTAATGAAGACCATCGTTTCTCAATTGCTTCACCTATACATAAAACATTGGATTACGGTTTAGTTTTGTTATAAATATAACAATAATTTGAAGAATAAGTATTTACCTGTCATATCTATATTATATAAACCTTTTAGATTTGTACTTATGTTTAACCATATTTCTTTTTTCTTTGTAGTATTTTTAAAATTGAGATCAGATTTGTCAAACAAACATTTATTATCACGAACAAAATCAATAATAATTTCATCGACACAGGAGAACTCCATTGTAAACACAGAAAATAACCTCTATAAACGTAATCGTACGTCGGAAAAGATGGGAGATGACCATCTCTTGTTCCGACATCGACAGCCGACTTGCGACAACTTTATGCGACAGCCGACAACCGAGTGCGCATGCGTTCGACATCCGACAGCGACATACGACTTATTGTGTAACAGGCCTTA